TTTTAAAATTTGGAGATCAATTTAGGAAAAATTGAAAGTTCAAGAATTTTAATAGGAATATTTCATTATTGGATGAAAGGGTAAATATGAAAGGATTATAAGGGGATTATGGTAATGTTAGCTTAAAAGATATTTTCTCCCTTTTATAAGAATGAAACACGTGGGTTTGGAGAGTTATCTGGAACTCTTCTTTTTCTTCTTTCTTTCTTCTTCCCGTGTGTTCATGCTTAAGCCTCAAAGGTGAGTTTTAATTTTGATGGTTAATTCTTGAATATTTGAGTTGTGTTTTATTCTTTGAGCGTTATATAAGCTTAAAGAAAGCTTATATAAGCTTAAAACACCAAAAGGAGAGAATTAGAAAGGATATTTGATTAAGGGTTAAGAAATGAACTTTTGTTATGGAAAGGTTTTTGAAGTTCTAAAGATGGATTTGACTTGTCAAAGGGTTAATTAAGAAGTTAGAGGGGATAGAATTGAATTAAGAACACATGTAAAAATTAGATGCAATTCTTTGATTCAAGAACTATGGTGAATTATGTGAGATGATGAAGTGTTATAAGAAGGTTTATACATGTATAAATAAGTTTTAAGGCATAAGGAGGGGGTTAATAAGTAGAATTTGAGGTCAAAGTAAGAATATTCGGGCTCAAAATGTAATTTTTGGGTTGTGTGCATCGATGCATCTTCAATGTGCATCGATGCACTCTTAAATAAATAAACATCAAGTACAGTTGGTGCATCGAAGCATGAGGAGTGCATCGATGCATCTCCTTAAAATGGAAACATCGAATGTAAATTGTGTATCGATGCATGATATTGCATCGATGCACCTGTTAAAGAATGCATCGATGCACTGTAGAATGCACCGATGCACTTCAATGGGAAATGAAATAAATCGTTATTCAGTCTATGAAATGATAGATTAAAGTATATTAATTGGATACTGATAGCATATATATATATATATATGATTGTGTAGACATCGATCGAAAACAAAGTTCGGATAGGTCGACAGAGTAAGATACGCAAGGAAACAAGAGTTTAATAGGGTTCATTGAGACCAGGTGAGTACATGATAGTAAGTGTACGTTATGTTAAGGAATTAAGACTTGCGATGAGTCCAATTCCGATATTATATGATATAAGTATTAAAGCATAAACATGTAGTGATATGGTGTTAGATGTATGGTATATGAGTAAATGCATATGTTTAATTGTTGAATGAATTTTATGTGTGAACTATGTAAATGTCGATATTATGATAATAGATCATGTGGTCATGAAATATATGATAAAATATATATGAAAATAATATGACTCATATATGCTTCTATTAGAATGTTATATGATATGTTAGTATAATAAAATAGATTAGATATTGATAATAAGACATAAGATTATATGCATATGTAATATATGTTAAAAGATAAGAAATAATATGTTATATGCATATGAGAAAAAGGTATATGTGATGTGACCATGCGTGAAAAGGATGAATAATGTGAATTTCATGGAAAATGCTACGTGAAAGTAAACTATGTGACTATGTGATCATATGAAATGTGATAAAGAGCTACGTGATATGAATATGTGAATGTGTAATGAGGTAAAAGATAATGCCCATGTCATGTGTTATGAGAGCTATAGGTATAGTTGGAATGCCAAGAGTCGAGGGTCTACGCGGTCCTTCGGGACATATTGGTCCTTCGGGACATATGTGTTATATGTGGTCCTTCGGGACAAATTCTACACGCCCCTAGTGGGATTTATACGAGTTGTGATGACAGCATAGTGCACAACCTCTATGTACTCACGTACCTTAAGTTCTCAATAGTGTGCATGGGTTTTGAAAAAAAAAACATAATTTGATATAATGATATATGTGTTTCTCTGGAAATGGTATATGTGATATGTGACATGTATAAGTGATAAGTTAGGATCATATGATAATAATGGTAACAAGTGCATATGGGTAATGGTTATATGAAATGCTATGTGGTTATGTATGATATGATCATAGTAATTATTCATTTATTATGGTGTTTTGTAGTCATATTATATGATTGGTTCTATAAGTATGTAATTATGATATGTGTTATATGACAACTGTATGTATTTGTTATGTCACATTGTGCATTTACATGTCTCACTAAGTCTATGACTTAGCGTGTAAGTGTTTTACACGTAGGTGTGAAAAATCAGAAGATCAAGTTTCGGATTCGTAAAGTAGCATACCTCTGCGCAACGTTCAGATCAGAAATATTTTGTAAAGTATGTCTTGTCATATAATTTAGTATGTTGGCATGTAACTAAGTCATTATATATGTACGCTCAGATGGAGTCTGTTGAGGCTTTAAATATGTTTATGTAAAAGAATTACTTTATAGAAAAGAAAAGTTTTAAATTTTTATGGTTTTTATAAAAGTATATACTTTGACCGGTCAATGTGACACCTCGGACTCGTATCTGAGTAGGGTACGGGTTGGGGGTGTTACATTTATGTTAGAGGTTGTTATGTTTTTTTTTGTAATTTCATGTTTTGGTCACTAAATGCTTAAATTTCTATATTGTGTTTTGAACTCTCAAATTTGTTGCGTGTTTATTTTGATCCTTATTCATCTATCACTATGATGTTGGTTTAATTGCCAAATTTCCTTGTTAATTTTGTGGTTATTACATTGTAATCCTTTCGCACTTATATGCTTGAATATTCAATATTTATATTTTGGTCCTTAAAACTAGATCAATATTCATTTTAACCATCCTCTATGTTAACATTATAAGGAAGCGACATGGTCAAATGCCTGACTTAGGATTAATAGTTTGAAATTTATTCATTTTAGTCCCTTTGCTTATATCATATTTGAAGCTACTATATTCATGCTATTCCCCCAAATTTCATTCCTTATTCATTTTAGTCACTACCCATGATAAAATATTAAAGTAAAATAAACCAATAGCACCTTGTAGGCTTCCATTATCACATTTTAATCCCTTAAATTATTTTATTTGTTTTTCTTTTGTGTTTATTTAACTTCGTTTAATGTATGTTTTTTTTAATAAAATAGAATATTTTTTATATATTAAAATTTACATATATTATTAGATATAAAATATATTTTGTGTATATATAGGAGTGTATATTTTCGAAATGAGATTAATGTTTTCTTAAAAAAGGTTTTTTAAGGAATTATTTTAGTAAAAACTTTTTTTAAGGAATTATTTTAGTAAAAACTTTGTTAATATTTTAAATATGAAACGCTCGTTAATTATTCGACTAATCTAGGAAAAACTTCCAAACACTTGGAATACCCTTCTAATGATTATTCGAATAAAATATTTTAACATTATCATTTATTATATTAAGTTAATTAAAATTATTATATTCGTTAAATAATTCTTTGCTAAAGAATATTTTATTTTTTAAAATTATATATTGCTTTCGTATAATCATTTTATTAAATATAGATGTTCAATTTCCATTTTATGTATCTATTTATTTATCGTTTAATCATTTTATGTTATCTCCTAACCTTAGTTTAATTTTATTTGTCGTGATTAATATCTTCTCCATTTTCCATATGTTGTTTATTATCATCGCATTCATACATCATACATTTATTTTCTCGTTCTTTTTGAAAATTTAAAGGCAATGTTGTCTTACATCGTGGGTTAACGAAATTATGTCCAACATGATTGTATTTCAATTCTCGTTAATTCATGTAATAGGAGAACATCATTTTTAAATAAAAACGAGTGAATTAAACCACCTTTTACTGAGTCAAGTATTTTATAAATAAATTCATTCATTTTTTAATTCATCGAAATAAAAGGATCATAATTTAAATATTGAATTCAAATTTGTAAAATCTCTTTATTTAGATAACGTATAATTAAAAGTATCAATTTTGGACGTTGTGACAGTGTTTACATTCCCCACGCGTAATCATTTCTCGAACCCTTAAAAAATGAATATTTGGTAAACACATATCAATTTTTGTCCTAAAAACATTTTTTTTAAAAATTATTTTAAATGACGTTTTTAGGTATGTGACATACCTAACCAAAAGTCGATGGCGAGTCCAAATTCTAAATTAAACACAAATCTAAATTTACTAAAATAAAATCATAATTATTTTTAAATTAAATTACCTATAATGAAAAATGGTTATGACGCATATGACTGCTTGGTTGGTATAATATGATTGACGTGCATGCTTGATGTGTTTTATGGCTATTTGATATTGTCCGATGTGATATTGATGAATTATGAAACATGTATTGTTTACACGTGCCTAAATTTACTGCTATGCTTTTTCATGCTACTAATATTGATTCTGTAAATATTATTGCATACTATATTACATGTTTGCATGGGTTTAGGGTTATGCATGAGGAAGTTATTGGCCCAAATAGGCATGAAATTGCTCCGTTCACATCTTATATTGGACTTTTTAGTTCACTTTTCTCTATAATGTTAAGATCAGAATCTTAGAAAATAGTTATATTTTCGTAATAAAACTCTCTGTTTAAGTAAAATAAAAAAAATAAAAAAATAAACCCAAACAATGAAAATTGGAATTTTAGATTTTAACCTAGACATATGAATTAAGACTTTTTAAGAAAATTTAAAAATTTTATTTAAGGAAATAATTTTAGGACTAAATTATAAAGATTTAAAATTCGACACTGATTTAGGATTTCAACTTCTAGGGACCTTAGAATGGAATAAACCGTTCGTTCCAAATAATACCGGGAAAATGGATACCATAGGATGGTGTCCAGAATGAAAGCCATCTAAAAAGGCTAGCATTGGTGAAGGAAACAGTGAATGGTTAAAATTGTTGTAAAATAAACTAATGGCAAGATGTTGGTTTTTTGTTGGAAGCAACCCATAGCTAAATTTGGCAGAGAGTAAACAAAACACAGATCAATCAAATATATATTGTTCTTTCATGCATTACTTTGAACACAGACCTTGCCTCCGGCTCTGCTCGTGGTGGAAGCATCGGCAATGGAAGAAACCTCCGCGGTAACAGCCGTTGCCATCGACAAGGACAAGAGTAGCCAGGCTGCTGTGAAATGGACAGTGGATAACCTGTTGGAAGGAGACTCTAAATGCATCCTCATTCATGTTCTAAACAAGACCTTGCATCCGTGTAGGTATCCCTCTCTTTCATCATGAATGATCATCATTTCATCACTTCCATTTCTTGATGTGTTTTCGTTTTTTTTTTTTTCACTAAAGACTTTGAAGCTACACCTATCGAAGGTCGATCGCCATCTGAAGATGAGGTAGAATTATACTTCCTTTCTCCCCGAGGATACTGCGCTCTTAAAGGGGTGAGTTGATCATTGGCAGGTTCGGCCTGAAGTTTTCTTGTCATTTCCATTGATTCGGTTGATGCTGGTGCATTTTCAGGTTGAAACACATGAGGTGATCCTCCATGGCATTGATGTCTCAACTGCCCTGCTAGATTATATCCACAACAACAACGTCAGAAACATCATTGTTGGCGCTTCAACTCGGAATGTTCTTACAAGGTCTTCTCTGCTTATAATTTTCTGCAATTACTAGTACTGGATATGCCTCCTGCTTGTAATTTCTCTAACATGATTTTGAAATCGCCTTTTCAGGAAACTCAGACATCCAGATGTCCCAACGAGATTGCTCAAATTTGCACCGGAATCGTGCGGAGTATATGTCATATCAAAAGGAAAAGTTCAGGCTTCCCGGTCAGCGTGTAGGTCTTGGACATCTCACGACAGCACAAGCACGAATTCGCACAGTTCACGGCATCGGAAAATGCTTCTGCCTAAAGGTGCACTTGATAACTCAGAGATTAAAGACTTAAGCAGCAGCAGGTAACATGAAATAAACCATACCATTACTTCTTGGAGATTCTCAATTTATAGGTGCCAAGTCAAAACTAACATCTCTCAAACTTCAAAGGTGATCTATATGATTTTCTTCCATGTTTAGTGGCAATATAATCACAACGAGTTCGATTTCGAAAAATGTTACTTAGAGCTTCTCCTTGTTCATGACATTACTGAAAGTAAATTCGAATTATTAACCAATGTTAATGAGATGGAAATAAGAAACTACGATGAGAACAGCGAAGATGAATCTTTGCTAATAGTCTGCTTAATTTCCCAGGATTTGGATCTAAGCATGTTGTTCTAAAGTTCTAGAGATATTTACTCACACTCACAACACTAGCATTGATGCAGATCCCCATCCGACCATTTCGGTGCAGGCCCCTACAAAAGTATTTCGAGATGTAAAGCCAGAAAATACGGAATAACTCCTGATAGAACCAGTGGTTCCTTTCAAGTAAAACCATGCGACCAATTGATGTCAAATACACAAGTTGTATCACCTAAAGCTTCAAAGAGATGTAAAAGACAAGAATTTCTTCATAGAATTTCCATACCAGAGAGAACTATTATTTTAGAGCCACAAAATTGTCGACCAACCGACCCAACTGCTCACGGTTCAGACAGTACAGCTTACAGTTCCTGCTTGAGTCCTGTGAGTATGTTGCAATAAATTCATTAGGCAACTATGTTTGGTCAAACGTAAAAACATACAATGACTGCCTGACATAACTAGTTGGTTCCTATAAACTAAATAGATCTTCAAATGCTTTATTTTATTAGTCCATTACCATATTACTGAGACATAGTTCATCCTTTGCATGAGTTGCATAGCGAGACTTGATGTTGGAGATGAGGAGACTTCGAAAAGAATTAGAGATATCCATGGAAATGTTTAAATCAGTTAGCAAAGAAGCTGTTGCGGCGAAAGAGAAGGTAAGATCAGATGCTTATGAATCATATGTGATCTTATCAAACAAATGTTGCCAGTTTTTCTTGACTCCACCTTTCGTTTTCCTAGTTGAGGACGCTTCAGGAATGGAAAGAAGCAGAAGAGCAAAAACTAAAGGAAGCCAGGCTTGCCGAGGAGGCTGCAGTGGCTTTGGCCGAGGCAGAGAGGCAAAAAGCCAAGGCTGCTATGGAAGCAGCAAAGACGGCACGGCGTTTAGCAGATATGGAGGTGTGTAAGAGAAAACTCTCTGAATCAAAAGCCAATCGTGAGGAAGAAGAAAAAAAGAGAGCACTAGATATGTTGGCTAACAATAAAGCTGCTTATAGAAAATACACCACTGATGACGTTGAAGCTGCAACGGATTACTTTTCTGGCGAGCATAAGATTGGTGAAGGAGGATATGGATCTGTTTTCAAAGCCACACTTGATCACACTGCTGTTGCCATCAAGGTCTTAAAGCCAGATATGTCACAAGGACAGAGGCAATTCCAACAAGAGGTAACAAAGCTTGTTAATTCCCCTTTTACGCATAGAAATGCAGGCAATTTCTCTAGCCAAATGTTTTAAATAAATGTTCAATGTAGGTTGAGGTTCTCAGCTGCGCGAGACATCCACACCTGGTTCTGCTCATAGGTGCCTGCCCTGAGTACGGATGTCTAGTATATGAATACATGGAAAACGGAAGCTTAGAAGATCGGCTCTTTCGTAAAGACAACACTCCACCAATACCATGGCAAAGCCGGTTTAGAATAGCTGCTGAAATTGCCACAGGCCTTCTGTTCCTTCACCAAACAAAGCCAGAACCACTGGTGCATCGTGACCTCAAGCCTGCAAACATTCTCTTAGACCGGAATTATGTGAGCAAGATTAGTGATGTTGGCTTGTCCGAACTGGTCCCAGTCCCTGCAGAAGATGGTGTCTCTCAATATCGCTTAACACAAGCTCGGGGAACATTTTGTTACATTGATCCAGAGTATCAGCAAACAGGAATGCTAGGTGTAAAATCAGATTTATATTCATTCGGTGTGGTTCTACTACAGCTGATAACGTCAAAGCCACCAGTAGGACTGTGTGCCAGTGTTCAGGAGGCAATCGACAAAGGAACCTTTGCAGAAATGCTTGATCCAGTGGTACCAGATTGGCCTGTTGAAGAGGCTTTATCATTAGCAAAACTGGGTTTACAGTGCTGTGAGCTAAGGAAAAGGGATAGGCCAGACCTTAATTCAGTTGTTTTACCAGAGCTGAATCGCCTCAGGAATCTTGGGCTTGAACATGAAGCCAACAACATTGAGATTCAACATCAAGCCAACGACGGCAAAAACGTGGCTTCTGAAGCACCCATTCATAATTCAGTTCCAGAGAATATATCACAAGGAATTCAGGTTAGTCTATACATGAATATTGCAGTCACTAGTCTGTTTTACTTCATGCATTATCAAGAACAAATGACAAACAATCCTAATGTAGAAATGGAATTCGAACGTAGACCGCTGAAAGAAGCTAACGGAAACTGTTAACATCGATGAGCAGAGTGTGGAAGTCCAGCATCCTTCCATCCAACGGAGTATCTTCCGGAAATTCAAACAGAAAGCTTGGTCAACCGAGCTGTAAGTCGTTCGTAAATTGAACCGGACCTCCTCAGCAGTTGGAAAGAGCCGAGTTATTTTCATAGTAGAAGATAAAATTGTTGCAGTGACTGGGGAGACATGGAGCCCTGGAGTCATTCTGGATATAGAGCTGAAAATTTTCCTATGGAATAGCACTAGTTCAAACTTCTAGGTTCATTCTCCCGATGTCTTTTGATTATACACCTATCTAATTAGTTCATGCACATTGTTTGAACAAATTGATGAGTTTAAATGTACCTAATGACTAGGAGTAAATATTTGATCAAGTATAGTTGAAAAAAAATTCAAATTAGTCGAGCTTATCGATCCCATTTTATCATTTAAAACTTTATTTGAATTTTTTCGAGTCGAATCGAATATATTTATTCGAGTTTCTATTCAAATTTAAATATAATTATTTATAGTGGTATGATGCTGATTGATTTTAATTTAAATAACTTTCTCTAACCGTGTGTGTATATATATATATATTGATTTGTAATGTTACGTAATAAACCAAATGCTATATGAAATTACATGATATATTTAAAATGTTATTTAAAAAAAAGGATTTTATGAACAAAATATTGATTGTAGCATATAGAAGTAAATGAATCGATGGGACAAGAATTTACAAAGAAGAATAAAACACAATTGTGGGATTAAGTTGTAAATGGAAGAAATTTATTGTTAAAAAGATGAATTAAAATTAAACAGTTATTCTACAGCTGATCTGTGATTTAAATCGGTCGAAAGTGTACTTAAAACGAAGAATGAATCGTAGAAACAAGGAAATCAAAGACCAAATCAATATATAATCAAATTAATTAACTAAAGATCAAAACGACATCGTGCAATCTTTGTTGTTCTTTGCTGTCTAGCAAACAGTACGTGCGTGTACACAGAATCAGAGCACAAAGTCAACAGCCAACAGCTGACAGATGGTTACCGTGCATTATAACGTCTATGATGTGAGAGTTGAAGATCTAATTCAAGGCATTAGCGACACATCTGTAAGTTCTCAGGTGCTACTGAACACATGCAAACATACACTTCCTAGAGAATGTTGGTAATAGAGCATTATAGTACTGAAGACTCAGGCATGTCTAGGGGGATGCAATAATACGAATGCAACTGTTGCCATCGATAGAAAACGTAGATGACATCAATTGCTTATGGCTTTGGAAATTACTATAGGTAACCAGAACAAGAACAGATAACTTTTAAGTTTTAAACAATAATCAACTACAAGTCGTACCGATCCATAGTTATATTCTTATGGCAATTCTTGATTTGCTTGCAGTATGTGCTGATATCTACAGTTTGGAAGCCGGCTTGGAAAAATAATGTTGACAAGAAGTCTTCATAGAAGTTAAATGAACATATCAGACAAAAAGACAAGGTTTTCCTATGAAAAGCGAAAAACTATAATCTAAACTGCACATGCTTACAGTTCCATCACCTCGTACATAGAAGCCATCACTTATCATCTGATTCTTGTTTTCCAGCTTCACCTTATAAAGTGAGAACATGCAACAAAAGAAGAAAGATGCATGCCATCTGAATCAAAATATCATCTTGGATGTAGAAAAAGGTGTCAGAAAACTATGTATAGCCCAGAACCAAATCAAGGTTCCAACCAAGTAAAACAGGAAACAACAGATTGAGATGTGATCAATTCCTCTATATCAAGTACCATTGGTAACTCGAAGAAGAAAAATATATTATTCTCTCAAAAAGGCTCCTATTCATACAAACCAGAATGAATTATGTGACACAACAAACGCAACTTACTTGCACAAAATCTCCAATAGCATAATCTCGCAAGAGAACGTAACCATCCGGCAGCACGTAGATAAAAGCACCCATCTCATTTAGATTGAACAATATATCCATCCAATCTCCTCAAGTATATCTTATATATGTATACCTTTAGAACTCTTTTAATATTCTGTAGTATCTGCAGCATCCTATATGGAGAAACTGCAGACAGCATGAAAATCTGCTTAACATTTTAGTTATCAGAAAAAATTAGCAGGTCATTACCTCAAACCGTACAAATCGCTGATGGCAACTAGAATCAGGATCAGAAGCATCAGAATTGGAGATTTCCAGTAACCTTACCAAGGTAACTACATCAACTGAAGAAGGTTTAATCCTTTCAAGAAGACTGTCGACTGTAACATCGCATACAAATGCATTCACCTGATCGTCTTTGAAAGCTGCATGTGACTGCATTTCAACAACAAAACTTAGTCCTGCCTAACCATCTAAGAAACAATACATACTTGTTTCTCTTCACATGCTGAACACTATTGTAAACTTGACAATTACTGTGACTAATAATGTTATGAACATATTACTAAGCATACATGCAAGCTATATGCAAATCTACTGTTCTAAGACAGAAATGTTCAATGAGGGCACAAATAAAAATTTGAGTTTTTTATTTATTTATAAAAATGGGAGGTTTCATTAAAAGCCCCTTCGTATCCGAAGAAACACTATAAAGTATCTCCACGAACACAGGAAGGAGGAAAAGAGTACCTCAGTTTAGAAATCAATATCATCCATAGGTACCATAGAATCAAATTGCGGTTGCGGATGTGGTTGCGGTGTCGCGGTTGTAGATACTACGGACGTTACGTAACGTGTTGCGGCTGTCACAGCCGTGATCTCTTCCTCAAAAATCACAATACGTAAAAAATAGTATATTTATACATTTTACATTTATCTTTTAATGTACTAATATTAATATACTGTTTTAATATTTTATTTTGAAAAATAAAAATTTAATTTCATAGATAAAAATTTATTAAAAAAATATAAACCATAGAAGTGTTATCATACTAGATAATGGGTAATAACAATTATAATGTTAATGAATAACATATAAACAATATCACTAAAATCATATCAAATTTTTTATATTGTAACATAAAATTGTTTATTTTACATAACTTAGAAAGAAAGAAAAAATACATAACTATAAATATAAAAATTCTATATCTTACAGTTCACCAAAATGAATGGCGTGACAGATCTAAAGCATTTTCATCTTCGTCGTTGTCTTGGTTTTGATTCCTTCCTATTCCATGTGAAGAAGACATCGCATTATGTGCATCATAAGATGCATCATTGGTAGGAAACATGTTGTATGATAAATAATGACAAAAAAATCCATAACTTGGATTTTGTTCAAGGTAAGGTGGATAACATGAATTTGATTGATAAGAATGAGAATCATGAGATGATTCACTAATTTCATTATCATTTGTAGATGAACTATATGATGATTAACATGTAAATGAATCATAAAAGTGTTCTCCCATCCTCCTATGAGTTCTATCATCATCATCTCTTATATTTTGTGGTGCATTTGTTCTATACAAACATGAATTATCATCGTAAGTATATATGGACGTACCTTGATCTCCATGAAAAGTAGTAGAATAAATGTTTCCATATTCTGTTTGGTACTTACCTTCATTATCACCACCATGATCATCACAACCACTATCATCGTCGTCGTCGTCATCATCATTATCATCACACACACTATTACTTTTTTCTATCACTTACACACATACTATCAAGGAATATATTCATTTTTTATTTTATTTGGTCTGATCCCAAATTATGTAATCATGCCTATCAATTATTCACTTTTCAACGCCTCTGCACGCACACACCATCACTTTTTTATTTTGTCAAGGAATATATTCCTTTTTTTATAATATTATTTATTTATTCTTTATATTATAGATTAGATAAAATTTTATAGTTTCATAGCAAATAGATAAAATATATGTACTATTATAGTATTATAAAGTGAATTCATCTCTTATACAAAATTTATAAAATAATAAATAAACATATGATTATGATACTTAATGTTTATATAAAAATTTAATTTAAAATTAATCACATCAATTTTAGATATGAGAAAAATTCAATTTAAATTTAAATGAATTTAATTTTAAAATAACGATAATAAATAATTTAATTAATTCAAATTTAAATAATTAATTTTAAACATAACTATTATGATATTATTAATGATATATATTTATAATCCAGTTTTAAGAATTAGATTAGAACAATTCATCTATGTAATTTTATATTTTAGATAATTTAAAGTTTGTTGCGGCGTTACGACGTAATTTATAGCATGTTGCGGTGTTACATAACGATTTTTGACCGCAACAATCGTGATGCGGTTCCCTTATTGCATTGCGCCGATATTACGTCGTGGTATCCTTAAAAAATGTTACGCTGTGGGCGTTACGTTGCGTCCGCAATTTAGTACTATGATAGGTACAAAAAACACACAGAAAACATAACCAACCCAAGAACCTAACCAACTATCTAACAACCAATAATAACAAAGAAAAAAGGAGCTATCAAGCAATTCCTAACTTAGCAAACACCTCTGAATGTGCTTAATAATAACATTTTGGTTGACAACAAGCTCGACTATTTCTTTCACCAAGGATTTAAAGAGACTAAAACAATAATCATGATTTTTTATCCAATCCAAAGCGTTTGCACAATCAATTTCTAGAATTAACTTCCCATTGGAGCTCCACTCCGAATCCACGAAATGAAGCAGATCAGCTTTCACAGCCAACAATTCAGCTAGGACAAGGGGCCAAGACCAGAGGGCTTCGAGAAGGACCTTAGTAGTAACCCATCCGAATTGTGAAGAACCCCACCAATACCACCTCTGATCCAATCTTTTTCCATCACACCATCTACGTTGTCATAACATATCCCTCGGGGATTCGTTAGACTTAAAAAATAATTCGCGGAAAGACGATGAAATTTAGGTTTGAAATAATTTGATTTTGGCTTGCATTATGGCTTTATCGGCAGCCTGTGTACTACAATGTCATTATCCAAACCTGACATGTCTTGATATGACCAAGATAACACATCTTTGAATTCGTATAGGAGA